CGCTAACATGCAGAACAGCTACACATTATCAATTTACCCAAACTCTGGCAAAAACCAACAATATCATCTTAGCCAGGCTCTGACCACACACCAATACCAAACAAAATTAGCAGAACCAGACTCCAGCACAACTATCAGCTCATCCAGATTCTTACCTTTCTTGAAATCCATCTTTAGAGCTATCTATTTGGTTTATATTTTTGGTAACAGCTACTATTTCCTCATCTAACGCTTCCATGTCCATAGTAAGTTGGTGAAGCGATGCATCTAGCTTTTGTGCTTGATTTTCATATAGATCAAAGAATCCTGTCATACCTTCCAATAAATCTCTGTCAAGTACACGCGTCAAACTGGCCTGAGTACCTTCCTGATCATACAGTAGAAAATATTGATAAAAAGTCAAAATATGGCAGAAATTACATAAAGTTATAAACAGTAGAAATGACATGATTAATTGACACCTAAATATGAAATTCTAACAACATACAAAAACAGTTTCTGAAAATGGCTAATGTATTGGTTATGTTAACATGCTATAACCATGATTTAAAATTATTATGTGAGAACAGATAACAAACACAGAATAGATAAAACGTTTATATTCTCATGAACACAATTATTTTTGCTTACAAAAACACGTAATTATTATTTTAGGTGAAGAACAAATCCATAATTACAATTAACTTAAATATTAAAGCAAATATGTGACAAATGAAGCATCTTCTAGATTTTGAGGGTCCATCAGAACATTCAGCAATATAAATGTGAAAGCAATAAATTCATAATTATTCATGCATATAAACGCTCATTTGCATAAACCAATGTGACGTCATACCTTGCAAGGTGCGATAATTCTGCATGTATCACGCATGCACCTACTACATGTGAAGAAAAAAAACAAAATGAACACCCTTCACCATGTAAGTGTTACCATAGTTACCATAGTAACATAACAAATCGACCAATAGCAGAACTATATTTACATAACATGGAAATAAGAATTTCCCAATTACAGAGAAATCATACGCGTGCATACAGTAGAGAAAAAGATGTTTTCCTGAATATTATACAATATAAATTTGGGTCAAACTAACTAACTTTCTGTCTAGTCTAACGAGTCATTTCGAAATTACTAGTACAAAATGTGTACATAATAATACATTTACAACAACTTGCCTCTTCCTCCGCCTCTGGCATATTTAAAACTGTTTTCCACAAAACATCAGATGCCAAACCAGAGTTGAATTCACCTACTACTTTTTCTGGCTGTAAAGTAAAACAAAAATAACATCCCTAATAGTTTGGGCTAATTCTGATCCAAGAACAGAATAGGAAATATCTCACTACGAATCAAAGATGACAGTGTGGATGGTGTAATGTTGTACGGTTATTTGCATATTGACCTTGCGTGTATCAAGGGGAAATTACATCTAGGGTTCGTC